GGCTGGGACTTGGCAGGCACGAGTGTTAGCTTGAGAGTTAGTGGTCCCCTGCTGCTGGAATGCACCCCAGACGGGACCCCCCAACCCCATCACTGCAGTCTGGAGAGGACCCAAGAGCCTTGTCTGCTGACCCCAGGGGTGCTCGGCGGCATTACTTCTAATAGATTTCACATTTGTTTCTGGACCTTCCAGGCAAAGCCATGTCAAGTGTGTGTTGGCTTGGGGAGATGGCCAGAGTTAAGACTGAAGAGCTTGAGGAGGCTAATGGAGCTGGGACATGAGGACACGCTAGGTGATGGCTTGTGCTTCCTCTGTCCCTGGTGACGTACCACAGACAGTCCAGTCCATAGCGCCTGAAGCCAGACCCAATGTCTACCTATGCTATAGGGCAAACATTATCTATGCAGAGTGGAAATTAAGCTATGGTGTTCATGGCTCCCAGCACCAACAAAGACTTCAGTCAGCAATCCTGTATGAACTTCTCCAGTGAAGGAGAAAGTAATTACTCGTGAATCAAGGCTTGAGGCAACTGGGAGTCCCCTTATCCCTGATAATCTCTTGCTCCGGACTCGTTTCTGTAATGTGCAAAGCTCTTTGGCCCCCAGCCTCTCCTTTTCTTTTTAGGAAGAGAGGGAATTAAGGTTGGTTAAGGCATCTGAGCCAGCCTTGGGTATTGAGGCAAGAGAAATGAAGACTCAGTGTCTGGGCACACTATCCCCAAGAGTGTTTGTAGGGTGACTTCTGGTTAGCAGAGAGCATTTGGGAAAGACAGAGAAAGTTCCCATAGTTTTGGAGGTCAGAGGTCTTGGGGCAGGCACTAGTGCCCTGTTTTAGAGTAGGGGGTTCTTCAGGGTATCTATGAGGTGTTCCTACTTATCACTTTCTTTGGATTTCTAGATCACCCTGGTTGGGGATAAGGAAATGAATGAGAGCGAGCCCCTTGAGAGGTAGGAGACAGAGTGTCCCTGTCACCTGTACAGTCTCCTCCCTGGAAATGTAGGCATTCAGAGAAGGAAAAAGGGAAGGGCTGCTATAACAAGGACCATAGACTAAGTGGCTTAAACAGCAGAAATCTCTTATTTCACAGTTCTGGAGCCTGGAAATCTGAGATCAAGGTGTGGGCAGGTTTGGTTTCTTCTGAGGCCTTTCTCCTTGACTCGCAGATGGTCATTTTCTCCCTCTGTCCTCACATGGTCTTCCTCTGTACATGTCTGTGTCCTAATTACCTCTTATAAGGACAGCAGTCATAATTGGATGAGGGCCCACCCTAAGGACCTCATTTTAATTTAATCACCTTTTTAAGGACCTTATCTCTAAATATAGTCACATTCTGAGGTACTTGGGGGGGGGCGTTAAGATTTCAACATATGAATTTTGGAGGGAAGAGTGAAAATTAAGCTACGGTGTTCATGGCTCCCAGCACTAACAAAGACCTCGGTCAGCTCTCCTGAATCCGTGTTCTGTGTCCACATGGAAGAGGATACAGACGCTCAACTGACTGAGCCACCCAGGGGCCCCGCCTTATCTGGGTTCTTGTTTTGATCCACTTGAAAATAGATCCAAGCCACGGGAAGATATTTTTGGGGGTGTTTGTGTGTGTGCGTGAAAAAGGTCTGAAAGAATTTAACACAAGTTGGAGGATCAGAATGATTATCACAGATGAAATTTTCATATTCCAATTGTGCCCCTCATCCACTTCCAAAATGCATATAATTGATGTCCTGAGAAGAGGGGTAGAGTAATGACTTGGGACAGATAACTGAGTGTCTTCTCATTCTGAGGTTTCCCAATTAGGCTAATTCTGAGGTCTTTGTTTTAGCATCCTACTTTCAGCCTGTTTGGGGCTGGCTTCTATAACCCATGGAAATGTCTCCTGTTTCAGAGGCAATGGACTATTTAGCTAAAAACTAAAAAGAACAATCTTAACAGTGTTCATTTTGTTTTGATCTACAAAAAACTCTTGCTTTTGAAATCAGTCTTAAAAAACATACAGGAGGAACTCAAGGCTAAATTCTGTTTTTCTAAAACCACTTTTGTTGGTTGAATGACATATTCCCAGTTAACTGAACACAAAAGTAGTAATGAAGTTCAGCTCAGCCAATTGTTAACAATCTGGGGTGACAGCAAATCCTCCCAGCTGAGAAGTTTATGCTGAACAAAGTGGCCTAAATCCTCTATGGCTCTTGATTTTTGCTTGCAATTCCCTTGTCAGTGTGCAAAGATGGTGGTTTTTCATCAGCTTCCTGCGGACATCTTTTGATGACTCACACTGGGCCACTTTTGTGAATTCAGGAGTGTGGTGGCATCCCCCCTTCACGCCATCTGCTCTTTTATATGCTCTAAAGGTGAAACCCAGAGTGGAGTGCAGGTTCTCACGTTCTCTTTCAACTATTAAATTGGCTTGCTGGGAAGGTGTTGTGTGCTGCTCAGGACCCACGTGGCCACCCAGAAGACTTGTTCCCTTATGTGCATGTCTAGAAATAAAAAACTGTTGGATGGCAAGCCAGTTAGGGGGAAGATGTGCTTTTCTAGCTGATTCTGTCAGGGTATTTTATCTGTAGGGATAAAAAGTAGTGCTTCACAGGACTGCAGTTTCTCTGACTTCTTGACATCAGCTCTTTAGATAGAAGCTCATTAAAATGACATTTGATAAGCTTTAGTCACCAGGATATAAAGCATTACAGAGCACACTGGCCACATAGTGGGGATATTCTAATCTCATTTCAGCTTTAAACATGAAGAACATTAATTAAGATTGTGGGGGAGATTTACCTAACCCTTAGGGAAGAGAAACTTAGACTTTTGTTTTCTTGCTGCTCCTACTGATTCTGAAACTAGGATTTATACAATTAATTGGTTCCTTCTGGAGTAGCACTTCTGACTCTGACATACTGTTCTTAGAATAAAGATAATGTTTTAAAAAAATCAGACCTCTCACATTGTCAATATTCAGTAATTGAGTTAATTACATAAAAGGTCATTCCAGGATAAACACAGTGTGGTATATACTAGCAATGGAATATTATTCAGCCATAAAGAGAAATGGAATTCTGGTACATGGCACAATGTGCATGAACCTGGAAAACATTATGCTAAGTTAAACACAGGCACAAATGGGCAAATATTACACTTATATGAGGTGCCTCAAATCGGCAAACTCATAGAGACAGAAAGTAGAATAGAGGTTACCAGGGGCTGCAGGGGGCAGGGCGGGTGGCCAATGGGGGCTCGTTGTTTAATGGTACAGAGATTCTGTTTGGAATGAGGAAAAAGTTCTGGAAATGGATGATGGTGATGGTTGCATGACATTGTGAATATACTTAATGCCACTGAGTTGCACACTTAAAAATAGTTAAAATAGTAAATTTTTTGCATATTTTACCGTAATAGAAATTTTTTGAAAAATTGATTCTAAAGCAGGAAGGGTATATAAGACTTCTACAAATGCAAACCTATAAAAATTAAACCTTACCTTTCTCAGACATGTATTACCTAAACTTATAAACCTATCTGAGGGCAGTTTTGCTGTGGATCTGCCCCATGATCAGCAATAGAGAAAATCTTTGCTCCAGGCAATTGCCAGGGACCACAGCCTCAGACAGTGTAGCCCACTTCCTACCCAGCTTTTCACTGGGAGAAATAATATTTCTGGGAAGTATCTCAAAGGATATAGGGTTCATTCATTGTTCCAGAAATTCTAATTTTTATCCCTGGATCAAGCCAGATGATCAGATTGCTATGTGCTTGGGCTTCTTTTTGGCCTTGCTAACACTTCAGTGAATTGTGCTTTGCCATCCTCTCTCTCACTGAGGGATGCAATAAGAAGCATTATAGCAGACTCCCTACTGTATACAGAGGCACTTCTAATTAATTACTTTCCCTCCTGACCCTTCAGTGTGGATGATAAAGGATGCTCTAAGAATTTACCATGGGAAGGAAAGGGTAACAAATTGGGAGAAATTTCCTAATAACAAGGAAAAGCTAACACTCTTGAAGTGTGTACATTGTACTTAGAGTCAGTGTGATTGTGTCTCTTCATTGCTTTGGCCACTAGGATGCTCAGAGCCTAATTTATGAACTACATCAAGTAATAGTTTAAAACCTTACAAAATACATTTCTTTGGACTATTCGTCATGCTCTAGTCTCTTTTTTGTTTTGTCTTCTTCACATCGTATACATATTTTATAAGTTAACTCATTCTTTCTTGACCTTAGATGGTGTATTAGGGTTCTCTAGAGAATCCTGACCAATAGGGTGTGTGTGTGTGTGTGTGTGTGTGTGTGTGTATGTGTGGGTCTGTCTGTCTAGTAATGGATCAACAAAGTCTACTGATTTAAATGTTAATCACGTCTAAAAAATACCTCTACAACAATTATCTAGACTTGGGTTTGACCAAACCACCAGGCACCATAGCCTAGTCAAGTTGATTAAGCACAAAATTAACCATCGCAGATTAGGGCCATAAATATACAAGAGAGTTTCCTTAAAATGGGCCATAAGTGTGGTCTTTCCCATGTGCTGCATTGAGTGCATGTAGAAGAAAGTTGCATTTCCCTTCCACCCCCTCATCTAGGTTCAAGTCTCATATTGTCATCATTTCATTAGCCGGTAGGGCTGTCTTCCAAAGCAGGGTTGGTTACATGGCATAGAGTCTTCATTGTGTGTGGATGTGTTGAGTGTGTGGATGTGTGAATGCTCTGACCTGCCAACGTACCCTGATATATGTAAGTGTTATACAGAGTTCTGCCAGCTCCTTGGTAAACAGCCATTTTTGCTGAGGGACGTGATGAGGTATATGATTTCATCAATTATTACCATTCCCAATTAGATGGGCCCCAGGTGTGTGTTAATAAAATGTTAGCTCACTCTCTGCAGCTCGAACAGCCCCACCTGACTTGATTCCAGGGATTTCATGCATTTGATATTGTTCAGTTGACTATGTTGCTGCTGTTGTGGTCTGAAAGGTCTTCAAATGTCCGGAGACCTGCTTTTTTGTTAGAAAACATTCCAGTTGTTGAGGAATGTAATGCATTGCCTGCAGTAGTTCTTACCTTATCTTTTTGTCTTTGGTAGGCTGGTTACTTTGTGTGGGCAGAGACCTCTTCACGGTCAGTCGGAGAGAGGAGTCTGACCACCGTGCTCTCTCTGGAGGTAAGGATGGAAGCGATGACGGACTTTGTTCTTCGTTTGGGAGCTCTGGGTTAGGTGATCAGGGATCCGGGCAGACTCTGGAAATCTTGGGACTCTGTCCTTTTCCTGTCTCCTGGGTGATTTGCCAGATTTTCTGGCCCATCCTCACCATGCGCTTCTCACTGTGGTCCTGGGATTTGGAAGGCAGATTTTGGCTTAAGTCCTATTTTTTGGTGAACCCAAGGAGGGAGTCCTCATGCCCAGGGAATGACTAGCGGATGAAAGACTCCTCTGTTTCCCACGTAATACACTAATTTGGTCAATTACAAGAGAATGTTCCATAGTTACCATCCCAGTGATGGGGGCAGGAATATGTGGGGGATAGGGAGTGATGTTCAGAAGTGTCTAGATCAAATGAAATACATTGCTAAGTCTACTTAGGAAGTGCATGCACTAATTATTGAGCATTTGTAATTATAGGACATTTAAATGTTAAGGATTAGAAAATCTTTCCTGATCCAAAATAGGATGAAAGTGTTACTCCAACAGAAGACGCAACAGCATCTCTTTGGGCATGTTTAAAGTTGTACATTTTACTGATGACTGCTTTTCACTTCATTCATGTGCCCTTTCTGTTTTGGGTGTGATGCTTAATGTACATGTTGACCAGATCAGTTGTTGGACCTGTCTCTATTTTCTCAGTGAAAAAAGCTGAATCTGAGATCTAGTTTTCTCTGGTCAGGCTGCCAAGGCTGGCGAATGTCTTTTTGAGGCCTCAGGGACCTGAGCCTGGTCTGCTGAGGAGTCTTCTTCCTGATGTGGGCTATTGGCTCCCAGCCCCGAAGCCCTCTGCTTTGCAAACAGACCTCCCACCTTGCATCTAATGGGTGAGGGAGGCAGCCTCCAAAGGAAGTTGTCTGAGATTGTGAGCTGATGGAGCCAGAAATCTTCTTGTTTCTTGTCTAAAGAGCAGATAGAATCATTAGCATCCATGTTTGTTAAAGATAATTACAAGTTTCAAGAATTCTGTAGAATATCTACTGAGATGGTTTACTGCTTGCCTTTTTTTTTTTTTTTTTTTTTAAAGGATGACATTGTATTCTCCTAATTAGGCCCAAGAAAACAAGCAGGAATCTGTATGTTATCACCATTTCCCTCCGGGCATATTGGGTGGTGTGTAAGCTCTTACTTCAACTGAAGAGTCTATTATTAATAAACCCAGAGAGTATGGAGATTGGAGGAGGGACGGTCCAGCAATGAGATGCGTGGAGAGCATTGGGCTGTCTTCCAAAGCAAGGAAACTTAATGCATTTTTTTTAAAGATTTTATTTATTTATTTGAGAGAGAATGAGAGAGAGAGAGAGCACATGAGAGGGGGGAGGGTCAGAGGGAGAAGCAGACTCCTTGCCGAGCAGGGAGCCCGATGCGGGACTCCATCCAGGGACTCCAGGATCATGACCTGAGCTGAAGGCGGTTGCTTAACCAACTGAGCCACCCAGGCGCCCGGGAACTTAATGCATTTTTAGTTACAGTGTTAAACACAGTGCTAGGAACATCCTAATGCTGGTAATCATAATAATGATGATAACAATGGCAATAAAAAATAATAACTGTGATATTAGACATCTCTATCACCATCGTCATGACAGCTATCATTTGCTGGCTCCTACTTTCTGCCAGGCACTAGACTACACATTTTGTTTGCATTATTCTCGATCTGCATGGCATTCCTATGAAGAAGGTCCTATTCATATCCATCTTTTAGGGTTGAGGGAACTGAGGGTTAAAGGTTGATTTGTTTGAGAGGGAGAGAGAGTGCGTGCATATGCACACAAGTGCACAACAGTGGGGCAGGAGCAGAGGAAAAGAATCTCAAGCAGGCTCCCGGCTGAGCATGGAGCCCCATATCACGACCCTGAAATCAGGACCTGAGCCAGAATCAAGAGTCAGGCACTTAACCGACTGAGCCACCCAGGCACTCCCAGGAAACAGGTTTTTATAGAAAGAGTAGGTAAGTTGCCCAAAGTTAGATAGCCAAGCCAAAAGTGGTAGATCAGGAATATGACCGACTGAAGAGCACAAAACAGGGGCCAAGCACACGGTGAGGCTTTGACCCACATGTGAATATGCAGGGCTGGCCCTCCACGTGACTTTCACTCTTGCCCCTGCTCACATGCCCTTTGCCCTCTGACCACCACTGATATTGTGTCTCTTCTGCATCGAGTAGGCAAAACATTAAAAAACATGTAAGTAGTTCAAGAATGTTGACGAATATTTGGCCTGTAAGGAACCCAGAAAGAAGGAAGAATAAAACTCACCCAGGGTTAAAAAATGCCAGCTTTATAGTCATGAACACGTTAGTGTGTTTTGCTACTATTTTTACCTTTGTGTGGTTTATTCACATAGTACGTATTTAAGTTTTGAAGTTTAAATCTAACATAAGTATTTTCTTGTGCCTTTGTCTTACAAGCCTGTTTTAATAGCTGCTTGAGCACTCAAGCATATATGGTTACAGGGCTCTAAAGTTTATTCCACAGGAAGTTGTATCCTTGAGTTGCTCCCATGTGACAAATGCATAGTTATTTTTGTTTGTTTTTTTAAGATTTATTTATTTCAGAGAGAGAGAGTGCATGCGCATGTGCATGCATCGGGGGAGGGCAGAGGAAGAAGGAGAGGGAGAGAGAATCTTCAGAGACTCCCCACTGAGTGCAGAGCTTGATCCCACAACCCTGAGATCATAACCTGAACTGAAATCAAGAGTTGGAAGCCCGAGTGAGCCACCCAGGTGCCCCAAGTGTAGAGTTTCTGCTCACTGTATTGGATGGTCAGTGTCTGTCTACTGCCAAATGGGCTGGAATTGTGGGGTGTCTATGCCCCCTCACATTGTAAACATCTTGTATCTTGAAAGGGGTCTCCATGGGGTTAGTGGAAGTCCTGCTGGCCTGGAGTCCAGAAGACCCAGATTTTGGCTCTGCATTGAAATCAGTTGTTGAGTCCTTGGGTAAATTACTTCATTTTAGCATCTTCATCTGTGGACCAGTTACATCTAGTTAGCTTTGTAATTCCATGAAAACAGGAGTTTTCTGAACCCTTTTAATTTATAACCTGATCAGTTCCAATTGATGCAGCAATTTGGGTTGGGCTCAGCTGGGTTACTCTGAATTGCTTCAAGCAGGGAATTTTGTTTTTCAAGATGACCTGTCAGCTCTTGAAACATGAAATGGCTTGACTACTTTTATATACTCCTTGCTATCTTCATTTCTCTGCTTTCTCCCTGCCCCAACTTTCTCATGCCTAGACACCCACAAAACTATATGGTACAAAGTATGTGCTCAACAAATATGGGATGAATAAACAAATACACAGACTGATGAATGCTACTGGTCTTCACCTAAGAACCTTTAGCACTATGGGTCATCCAACTTATCAGATTAATAAGATTGTTTTCATTTAGATGTGGTGGCTTTGCTTTTAACAGATAGGAACTTAAGCGTCCAAAGTTTCTCATAATGTATTTCAGAGTGATTTTCCTACAAAGTTAATTATCAGTTCTTCCCACGTGTTACAGATGATAGAATACTGATCTATGGAACTTGGTATTTTTTCCGTTTGTGTTGTGGGTTGAGAGAGAGTTTTGTTTTTTTTTTTTTGCTTAGGTCACAGCAAAATCAAAGCTTGGAATGTAATCATTCTCTTGCTGTGACCAGCAGAAAAAAGTGAAGATGTTCTGGGTTCCCTGCTTTCTTGGAGCCACATAGCTGGACCATGGGGATTACATGGTTGGTTCTGACTGGCTGTCCCTGATTCTCACTTGGTGATGTGGACCTTGAATTGGTTTGCTTTTGCCTTGAAGTCCTCTACTACTTTATTGTGCAATATTTAAGACACATGGTATAAAGCTACTTCTGAGGAAGCCAAATCTTGCCATTTTGGGCCCTGGAGTGTATCATGGACTGAAAGGAACAAAATTCTGTATTTCTATACCACCCTCCTCCACAAAGACCTAATTTGGCACCTACCTTGGCTCTACAGAAAGCTTGCTTCTGTCTCCCCACGTTTGATCATTAATCAGCCTCAGCTCTTCCCAAGTTAATAAGCTGACTGTGGTGGCCTTGGTGGCCCTAGGTGGGCGGATGAGAGCTTGGCAGCACCATGTGGTAGTTGGTAAGCCTGCTGACAGACAGACAAGTGGCCTGGTTTCCTGTGTGTGTTTGTGTTGGAAATGCTGTTGGTAATAAAGCCTCATTTGTTTGGGGCTCTGTATCAGTTATCTATTGCATAATAAGAAACCACCAGAAACTCAGTGGCTTAAAACAACAACCATTTTATTTGTTCATGATTTTGCAGGTCAGCAATTTGGGCAGGCTCTGCTAGTCTGCTTGGGATCCCTCATGCCATCATACTCAGCTGGTGCCTACGAGGGAGTTGAAAATAGACTTCACCTCCTAATGGAATAGCTGCAAAGAATTCATGGCCATGTGAAATTTACCCTAGGCTCTTAACTTTGACACGAAAGCAATCTGAAATTAGTTTATTTTACAATTATTTTGTCTTACACCATCCTGGAATAGGGATGATGGTGTCAGTCCATCTGAGAGAGTTTTGGAAAATTGAGGCTTGCTGTGTAACATTCTCAAGAGTATAATAATAATAATAAAGACAGCAATAATAGCAGCAAATGTTAATATTATTCTTACTAATGCCAAACACTGTCTTAAGTCCTTTACATGTCATAACACATTTGGTCGTTACACAGTCTTATGAATAAGTACTGTTTTATCCCCATTTTATAGGTGAGAAAACCAAGGCACAGAGAGGTTAAGTTACTCCCACCAGTGCCATAAAGCTACTAAGTGGCCGAACTGGGATTCCACCCAAGCCGACTGTCTCCAGAGTCTGCATTAACTCCAAGGGCTTCTCAGGTTAATGGAAGTGAAATCTTCCTGACTCTTAGTAGAGTTCTCTTTTGGACCATGTAGTTTTTATAGAGGCAGGGGGATTGGCTATTTGGAGAGGGACAC